CTATGCAGCACACCCTAGGTAACCAGGAACAGGAAGCCTTGGGAGGAGAGCCAAGGATGTTTACTTAGAGCCAATAAGATAAATACGGGACGTCTCACGCCAAGGGCGCGGGATGCCATAGGATGCCATGCGTCGTTTGTTTGCCTCGCGGATTGGGCCTCTGAACCGGCAGCCAGCACGGTAGCAGCCTCACCGCCCCCAGACGGACATCCGCCCTTCGAAATGTACGGCGGTCAGCCTTACGTGTACGGAGCCGGCTACGGACAGGCTCCCCGACGTCGTTACCGCAAGTCTTCCTCCGCCACCTCGTTCTTTCTCTTCGCTGCCTTCCTCCTATTACTTCTCGTCGCACTCTCCCTCCCGATTATCAAGGCCATCTACCTCCTCGAGCTAGAGGCGACCAATGCGCAGGGGATTTCTACTAATCTTGGTACCTCTGTTCGATTTGGTGTCTGGGGTTACTGCATAAACAGGTGTGCCGTCAGCCCCCTAGGCGCGAGCGCCGTTTTCACTATATGCCCCTAGCTCACTTGTACCGCCTGGCGTCTTCACAAACAACGGCTCTTGCGAAGGTCCCGAGTTGGGCTATACGCTGAATTCAGAGCTCTTCCGGATAATCCTAGGCATTAACAACTCGAATGTAGAGCTCATCCTCAGAGGTCTGACCATCCTTCTCATCCTCCATCCCGTCGCTGCTGGCCTTGCATTGCTCACTGCGCTACCCGTATACCTCTCCTGCTGCATATTCCACAATACGCCCTGGATCATCGCTCTCATTTTCAGCGTTGTCACCGCCATTCTCACCACCATTGTCTTCGCGGCAGACCTCGCGCTTGTCCTCGTCTCTCGCAATCGGCTCTCACAGATATCCGAGGTATCCCTTGCCATCAATTTCGGACCCGGCGTCTGGATGGTGTTGGCAGGAATGGTTTGCACGTGGATTGCACTGGTTCTCCTTTCCGCAAAAGTCTGTCGCTGCTGCGGGTACCGGTACGTCTCTTGCAGTAACTGACATCTGTTTTATGGCTGAGACATACAACATAGTGAAAAATATTGAAGCGCACGAATGCCGACCTAACATATACCCCGAGAGCTGTTCTGATGTTGAATTCGCTCATGTATATATCACGATGCCGCCACCTACGATGCGTACGATATTTACGACACCATGTTACCCCGCCTTATCGCCGCCGCGTGTCACGGCGATCCCCAAGGACGCCGTGACTGCGCGCAGCGAGAGTGGCCTGATCGTCGCACCTTATTCCATAAAAGTTTCTGTATATGCAAAGGACGGCTATCTTCTATGCCACGGTTCGTGCACCCGCAAGCGAAGCCAGGATGCGCGGACCGGTGTCCCATCGAGCACAAGAAGAGCCAGGCTGATCATGTCCTTCAGCCGACCGTCTCCAAAGATCGGGTCCTGTTACAGTACGGTGCGGTTTCGACATCAGGGGAGGATGGAGCTTCGCCGGCTTCACCCTGCACACGTGTGTGCTGAGACCCTTACTGTACAGCGGACTGGCGTTGGATGGGCTCCCGATCCAGCCCAGATTTGATCGATAGCTGCGCGGCGTGACGAGAGGGTTTGCAGCGGCGCCTGTTTGTTCCGATCGCTCTCAAGATCGCTCTTTCAACATACGGTATCGTACTATATTGTGTAGTAAGCGATTGAGCAGCGGTGGGTACTGTACTCAATGAATTCCCTGATTACTTTTCCAGCTCATCATATTATTGGCACCAAAAAATATCTCGGCACTAGCAAGCTCTCTGACGAAGATAATATGAAAAACCAAAGGACACGCGCACGACCAGTCTCGGACGAACATTCTTTTGTCCCACTACGTACGACTCTGGGGCCTGTGCCACGCGGCAGGTCATCCCGCGACAGCTTGAATAAGAAGCTGTCTGGCGCAGCTGAAGGGCTCCCCCAAGCACTGTCAACAAAGCCACTGTGCCGTACGGCATAGCTCGAAGACGTTTATACGTCGCGATGCCCTGCCACTCGCATGGGGGACGGTGATGGATGCCGCGTCTTCGAGGTGGACGTCTTGTAGTTGCCTCCATGCCTTCTCTTTGCTGAATGAGATTCAGATATGGTTCTGAAAGTATGCGCATACTCCATGTATGTTATCCGACACCCGGCCTTTTGACACACGGATGGAGCTGGCAGGCCTCAAGTGCACGTTCAGGTCTAGGTCTGTGACATACCGTCTCGAAAATCCGTTGCTGACGTTCTTGGACGTTCCACCATGTTGGCCTGTAGCCTTGCATCCTCTCGCAAGCTTCACTGTTAGCCGGGAACGTCCTTTGTTTGTCTTTGAGGCACCTGAGAAACACGAGATATCGGATGCTACCGTCAATGCCCGTAGCAGCCCACTTGCAACTCACTCTTTTCGAGAGGTGCTCAAAGGTCCAGTGCACTATCCTTAAACCATTTCAACCTCATTTAATTCCATAGGATTTACAGGGTTTCCTAGAAGGTCCTCGGAACGATGTTGTTTGGGTCTGTTCGCTACACTGCTCGTGTACCGCAGATACGGGCTAGCTTAGAGGCGTGACACTGCGGCCTCAGATATTGGCGGATCGGATCGTAGTAAGCATTACTCCAGAGGCTTTAACGTGCCTATTTACAAACTCAAGGCCGTCAGCGGCAAAGCACACAGAGCGTCGATTTCCGAAGATGCATTGGGCGAGATTCCTACCTCCGAGTTAAGTGGGACCTACCTTCCTCACAGTTATGACGAGGTTTATGGGAAGAAATCCGTGCAATGTGTGTATTACCTTCCACATCCAGCAATGCAAGCATAAACGCTTTCTCAGCAAGAGTCAAAACGCTTGCGCCTCTGTCGTCCTGGTTCTGAGTCACCAAAATCATTGATCTCTGACTCTGGGCGAGCCTGCAGAGGTGCGGATGGTATGCTGTCGATAGCCTCGCTCTAGGTCATCCAGAAGTTGTCGATCTCTACAATGAATCGACTACTCCTCTCCGGCCCTTTAGCATATCGGCCGTTATGATTCTCGCCGATGTTTGCTTCTGCTCTCCTTGAACTCATTCCGCCACCTGCAATTCTGCTCGTCTGAAAGTTTGCCTTCTCTGTGCTCAGGATACCCTTCCACTGTGATGTTTCATCCGCCTTGTCTTCGCCCGTTACTCATGCTTGACTGATAAGTCTTGTACCAGGTAAGTTGACTGATGACAATAGTGTCCTTGTCGCATTAGGGATTAACATGTGACATCCGCGCTCGCGTGGTCAAACGCGGTCCAGGATAAGATATCCCCAGACTGTGGTCGCGCTTCCGCCTCAGCTTTTGTCCCTCTTCATTCTGCCACCGCCTCGATCCCACCTTTTCTCATCCAACCACGCTGGTCTTCCCCATGTCTTACACCAGCCTCGTCTTATGCGAGTCTGACTCGCACAATGTGCAGAAGTCGGAGCGGCGAATCAAATTCCAACTAAAATGTGGGAATTATGCGGTTGGCATCGAACACAAGTCCTCGGCGGAAAACGGCCAAACATGCGCGACTACGCGTCCTAGGATTACGATAGTGAATCGTATTCGTTCACCATCGGCGGTGAATGCATATATTGGCTGCGACACCTCGCCATTCAGGGTGTGCTAGCATTTTATATCCCCTTAAACCTGCTTCACTTGCTTCATCAGAGCTATCAATTTCACTTCAGGAATGGCTCGAGTAAGGTTGTGGCTTTCAGATGCTCAGTGGACGGCAGGCGCTTTGGATCCTACCCTGTTCCTGCTCAATCGATGACAACTTTCCGTTCGAGGGGCCAGTGGCCCTTCGTGACCTTCGGGAGACATCAGCGGGCTCCTCGTGCGTGTGATCCGTGTCCACTCATCGCTCACTCTATCCTGACGCCGTTTAGATCTTATTCGATTTAATGTAGGAATCATGACGATCGAAGTCGCGGAAGTAGATTGTGTGTCGGCTGGGGATGTCGCATCATCCAGCTCTGACATTAGCACGCACCCGGGAAAGACGGAATGTCTCTTCACTCTGTGTTATATGCCAGATCGTTAGCACAGTCTTCCGAATATCTCAGTGTCGTCTCCCTGCTGACATGTGACTATCCAGACTTCCTCAAGGAAAAAGGCGTCGTGCCGAGACGATTGAATAGTATACGGTTATGGAAGCTCTGCGGACAACCAGCGACCAACCCGCATATTTTCTACAAGGAACTCCTGTCTGCTACAGCGCCTGAGTGGCATCCTGAGCATCCGGCACACGATGGATCGGAACGGTCGAACAACCGGCAGGAAGCGCTGGTCTATGCCGATCGTCGCAGACACCTGCGCAGAGCAAGGCTGATGTATTTCATACGCAGCGCACAGTTGAGTGTACAGCCGCGAGCCGTAACCCACGACAATCGCCTCAAGCGCAAACGTGAGGCGGGCACGTTTCCCGATGAACAAGAGAAAAGGCGCAAGACATCCGTGAGCGAAAGTCGGTTTCTTTCTGTGAGGATCTTGACAGTGTTGCATAGCATGTCAGACTCGACTTGTGGGATATACCCAAACAATCATTCAAGTCGTCGCCGCTCCGCCAATCATGGGTTTCCTGGGCGGCGAATGAGAGCTGATCTATATGCTTATGGTTACTCTCTGCCCTTCAGAGACTTGTTGATTTCCCTGCGTTTTGACATTGCGGGTTTTCTCAAAATTTTTGTCTCTGTTCCGCGCGAGATAGACGGTTTTCTTCATTACATTCCCCATATCATGCCCAATCACATATATAGAACCAGCCGCTCAACTGCACAATACTGCTCGCATGGGCATCTCATTTTGTATCTCTGAGTCGACGGGTTTCGCGCTTCTTTCTGAGCAAGTATGCTGACAGTACTGCTGTCACACAAATCAACCGTAGTCCAAGGACAGTGGCTTCGTCGAAAGCCACATTTGCACAGTCAAATTTGTGAGGGGTTTTCTGGTCTCGAAGCTGGACCTTTTGCGGTTTGATGTACTATATTTATTGCCTGTAGCAGTCCCTGGTAGTATATCGGCTAGTACACCCGCCTGTCATTCACTTACGGACCGCGGGAGAGCGGGGTTCGACTCCCCGCCAGGGAGATGGTTTATGTAGCCTCCGTAGATAAGCTGCTGACTTTTGTGAAAACTTGGCAAATGGCAGTAAGTCGTGCCAACCCGCGGCGGTCTCGGTACGCTTTTCGCACCAGCTGCTGTAAGGAGCTCCGGCTCGGCGCGAGTTTTGTCCTCGATTGCCATAGTTTGCCAGCAGCCGTGACTCACGCGTACTTTACGCAAGCGCCTCGCGACCTTTCTCCACACTTCTTTGCCCCATAGCCCCTAGTCTACTTACTTTTCACGTCCCGGCTTTCCATCTTCTGAACTTTGAAGTAAACGAGTGGTATCGGATCCGGCATTGTTTCCCACACCCACCATTACACACATGCTTGATCTTCATCTCCTATTATCCCTTAGTCTTACCCCCGCCGACTCCACACTCGACCAAGGCTTATTATCCCGGAAATCACCCCGGACGCTCGCTCAAGAAAGGTAGCATCTGCACTCACGTTGGCAATGAGCAAGGGCATCGTCGACTCCCTAGTCTGAAACCCTCAGCTGACGATAAGGTTAAAATAGTGTACATAGAACAAAGTCTTTAGACACGAGTGGGTGGTGCAGCGCGGCTGTCTACTTGCAGGAGCACGTCTTTCCCTCTTTTGCACAAGTGCATTCGGATCCACACCTGCACGAGCACTAGAGCAATCAGTAAGCTGACAATTATCGCGTGTGGCGTGAGAAATAGAGCGTACAGAGGCATCGTTAGGGCAGCCAGCGCAAGTGCAAGAGCCCTTCTGGCAGGTGCAGCTAGAACTGGCGATGGTGGAAGGTCCACAAGAGCTGAGGAGCGTGCTGAGAACATCACGTTGCGCGCCGATAATATATATCGAAAGGCTACGTACACGCACTTAGTAGTGCAATTGCAAGTCATTTTGAAATTCAGGCGAGAGGTGACAGAAGAAGTTTGTATCGGGGCCAAGTACTCAGTAGATGAGCTTAGGGAGCTGGGAGTTATTGTGCTAAAGAGCGGCACGCAAGCGACGGGCTTATATATGCAGCCATATTGTAGAAACGTGACCCAGAGGCTAAACTGTACAGAGGAATGCCAGGATTTAGGTCGCAAGCCGCTGTCTGAGGGAAGCGGATGAGTCGCGATGACTGACTTCTGCACTGTCTGCGTCACCCTTGAGGCAATTTTGCCCTCGACACGTGATGCGTCCTAGCGCAGCGCGCGGTTTATGCCCGTCCACTCGCCGACCCTCGAGCTGAAACATCGCGGCGTCACAGATAACCGGGTGTCAGCAATCTCCCACTCCGCGCTCGGCAAAAATGCTCCGTCCAGGTCAAGCTACCCGTGAAATTTTATCCGTGCCTACGGAGGTCGTCCTACAGATCTACGTAGATCGTGTTCTCATCCTAGTGACCCAACTCGGCAAGGTCGGCGCTCTGGTGCGTGTGCGTTGCCTGTACCCACTCCTTGAATCTCAGCTTTGGATCAGATCCAAGCTTCCCTACCCTCCAACACACCTCTTGATCTCGACACAGTAGGCGAGGGTGAGACTGTCCCTGAGCCATCGCCTTACCCAGCTCTGCCCCCGCCACCGGCATCCATCGCCCTAACCCCACTCCTCGGTGCATCTAGTAACAATCCTCTCCACTCTCTGTACGTCTCACAGATCGCCACCCTTGTGTGGGCGGTGCAGGCCAGACCCTTCCCTGGCGCAGGAGTGGGAGCAACGCTACCTGTTGCGGTCGGGCTCGCGCTGCGAGGCGGTGGGACGGAAGACCCAGCGATGTTCCATGGTGTTATGGGGCTTGTGCGCGAAGTCCTGGAGCAGTCCTGAGGCATGTAACGGATGATGCCCGGTATGTTCGTCACACTACCACTGTCCGATGGTCGTCAATTCTGAATCGGCAACAGTCAGGCTAGGTAGCCCGCAGCAGCGGCTTCGAATCATGTAGTGAGCACGCCGCTTCTGATAGCTCCGGCGTGGAACAGGTGCCTCAAGAGCGAACGTGCGGACGCCCCAGCCAGCGTACTATTTCCAGCCATATCGGTGCAGCTCCTTAACATTAGGGTACACGCGCCCAGGCCTGTTGTTCGCCTGGCAGCGCTGCTACGTACGGCAGCGGGGCTTCCAGAGCCGGCACAATATTGCTGTACTAGTACAGTATTCCGTATGAACGGGAGTGTGCACCGTACGTTACCTGGCAGCGTCGAAGCTGGACACGCCAGGAACATAGGGTGTATCATATTCGAATCACGCTCCAGCCGCATTCGGAATACTCACGCACGCGCTCGCGGCCTCGCAAGGGATTCCGTTAGCACTTTCGAAGAAAAGTTCACAAGCGCGTATATCAGTCCATGCTACTCGCGTCCAAGCCATCGACCACGGCGTCTTACCCGGCCCACCTTGTCACAGGCCATCTGATTGTATCCTCGTGGATGCCACGCGGTTGGCTGGTAAGCATGACACCTGAAAAAGTTTACCGGGCAGCTCGCACGTCTCGCTGTCGGTACTCACATGGTCCTATACCCACGTTCTCGGGCTTGTTCTCTTCATTCTCGTATGCCCTCCTCTAGCTTAAGCTTATGTACAAGCCTTCTCGTGCCTGAGCGGCATCCGCTCAGCCTCCGCTTTGTTTACCCCGTGGTCTGCCAGTGCTTTCAGTCGTCCTCGACACAACGCTACTCTGGTCCAGTCACCCCAGTCAGATACAGCATATTGTTTCCCGTCGTTCTATAAGTGCAGTGGCCCCTGTGGCCTGAACGGATGATTCACAAATCCCAGAAGCATTGACATCGGTAGATCCTGTCCTTGGACAACAACGTCACACGTCGCTTGGGAAGGAGACCTGTGTTTACACCTGCACGGGCGCTACTAAGAATAGTCCAAGAAGGTATAAAGCTAGGCGAGGTTCGTACTATCCGGCCCTCCACGCGGTCCCCCTTCCGCCTTGCCGCTTGAGATGCGCGTCTCAGCTATCCTTTCACAGTTGCTCGCACTGACGACAGCGCCTTTGTGTGTGCGCGCCGCAACTGATAATCTCGTTCAAGAGATAATCTCCGCTCTCAAGCAGGCCGTTGACTGTGCGTCTTGCCAGGGCATTCTCATCCCCGCGGCGAAGGCCCTCGCCGACTTCGGCGACACTGCTTTTATCGACACCTTCACCACGGTATGCCAAGTGCTCGGGGTAAGCCCTATGATCGGCCAACGCGCCCAGTTGTCAAGACGGTGTCATTGATTAACACTACATCATTCCGCTCCGCGTAGCTCGAGGATGACGACGTTTGCGCAGGCCAGTTTGCACTCTCCGGACCATCCGTCGCGAATGCGCTCCGCGTCATGGACCCGTTGGGCGCCACCGCGACCAAGTTCTGTTTCGCACTCTTCGGTCTGTGCAACCAGCCATCCGTTACACCGTTCAACGTCTCGTTTCCGACGCCCACACCACCGACCCCGGCCGTGTTCCAGTCGACTGGAGGCACGCCTTTCCAGGTGGTGCACTTTTCCGACGTGCACATTGACCGGAACTATACCGTGCGTCGTGCCATTCTCCTGACTTCGCCTCCTACGATGAGGGCTTATGCATATTGCACTGTCTAGGTCGGCTCCAACGCGAACTGCACGAAGCCTATCTGTTGCCGCGACTTCGCGGACAGTCCGGCGAATACGACTGACCCTGCCGGACCGTTCGGGAACCACCAGTGCGACGCGCCGCCGGATTTGGGAAGCAGCATGATTCAGGCCATCGATTCTTTGGCAGCAGATGCACGCTTTGCTATCCTGACTGGCGATGTCGTCGCGCGTGCGTTCGTTCAAAGCACTCCACGTTAATTCGACACGGAACGTCATTTATGTCACAGACGATACCTGGCTGGTCAACGAGGGCGAGGCAACTATCGATCTGCAAGATTGGACAGCCGACATGGCTGCGGGGCTCAAGACCACGGTGTATCCCGCTCTGGGTAAGTATTAGTACACAACGATCTCACCTTACCAGGATCTCATCACTATCCCACAGGAAACCAGTGCGCCCACTCATGTAGAGTCCTTTTTAATGATTTTGATTCTGCCTCGACAGCGACACCGCACCCGTGAACAGCTTCCCACGGAACGTCACGTCGACCGAGAACGTGCAATGGGTATTTGACCTCTCAAGTGATGGATGGGAGGTAGGTCCTCCCTCTTCGAATCAGTGTATCCTTGTTAACTGTGGGGCCAGCGGTGGATCGGTAACTCTGCCGCAGATCAAGTTCGGCACGACTCTGGCTCATACGCAGCCCAGGTACCCGGGACAAACCTGACGTACATTCAACTCATCTCCCGTGTCTGCCCGCGCTCATGCCACCTCCTACACCTAGGGTCATTTCCCTTAACACCAACTTCTGGTACATTGACAAGTAAGAAAGATGATAGCCTCTTTATGCTGCTGCTAATTCTTTTCTTAGCTTGATGCTTTACGACAGCAATGAACAGATGTATGTAGTTCATATCGGAGATCACAAAGTTCCTTGCACTGACATTCACATAGAGCGGACCCGAATAACATCCTCGCATTCATGGTCCAGAGCCTCCAGGCAGTGGAGAGCGCTGGCGGTCGTGCATGGATCATTGGGCACATCCCGCCTGGTCTGTCGGATGTCTTCCATGACCAGGTGTGTCGCAGTCCCGTGTCTGCACGATCATTCTGATGTACAGATAGTCAAATTACTACGATCAAGTCCTGCAACGATACAAGAATACCATTGCAGGCCAGTTCTTCGGCCACACACATGTCGTGAATGCTATATCCATCAGACCGTGGTGACGAGGGAAGCTAACATGCAGGCAGGACCAATTCCAGGTCGCGTATTCAGACTATGCGAACAGGAATGCACAGACAGCAGATGGTTTCGCCTGGATCATGCCGTCACTGACACCAACAAGTATGTACCCAGGCTTCCGGCTAGGGGCAAGGGGCTGACCGGCTGCAGGCGGGCATCCCTCATTTAGGGTGTACGACGTCGATCCGGATACATACGAGATCATGGACGCGCATAC